CGGGTGTGGGCTGCCTCGCGTGGACCCTGATTAGGGCTAGTGGTGAGGAGAGGGGTGCGGGTGGCAGAGGGAGCCGGGGAGGGACGGCAAGGGACCCTTTTCCCTCCTGCCGGGATCCGTCTGTAAGCCTTGTACTTCCCCGGGTTAGGGCATTTCTCGCCGCTTTCTCTGTATCGTTACAACTTCATCCAGTGCTTCCTGGATTGTTAGTTTTATTTTGTGATGGTTATTATGTATTTATTGTTTAAAGGGTTTGTTGTTTTGGTTTGGGTGTTTTGTTTTCTTTTTTTTCTTTTCTGTGCAGCTTATTAGGGCTAGGAAAAAAAAAAACATGTGAAGCTTAGGGAGTAGCACTGATACTGTTGCCTACAAGGAGCAGAGAGCAGGCAGAGGTTTTTAATATTCAAGTTTTCTAACTGTGCTGGTTTCAGCTGGGATGGAGTTAATTTTCTTCCTAGCAGCTGCCATAGTGCTGTGTTTTGGATTTAGGATTAGAAGAATGTTGATAACACCCGGATGGTTTAGCTGTTGCTAAGCAGTGCTTACATCAGGCAAGGACTTTTCAGCTTCCCCTGCTCTGCCAGGGGTACAAGAAGCTGGGAGGGGGCACAGCCAGGACAGCTGACCCCAACTGGCCAAAGGGCTATTCCATACCATATGATTTCATGCTCGGTATATAAACTGGGGTGATTTGGCTGGAGGGGATGGGATGGGCATCGGTCAGCAGATGGTGAACAGTTGCATCATTTGTTTTTCTCCTGGGTTTTGTTTCTCTCTCTCTCTCTCTCTCTCTCTCTCTCTCATTCTCAACCCTACAATTTGTTGATGTTGTTGTTGTTATTATTTCAATTATTAAACTGTTCTTATCTCAACCCATGAGTTTTCTTACTTTTCCGATTCTCTCCCCCATCCCACCCGGGAGGGAGGCTAAAGCAAGCAACTGTGTGGTGCTTGGTTGCCAACTGGGGCCAAATCACGACAGTAACACTTGCAAAATTTAGAGGGGTAGACTGTGCTGTAGGGATTCTTATCACAAACTAACGCTTTCCTTATGTTTTGCTTGTTGGTATGGAGTGGGGTGTTCAGAATAAACTTCTGCTTTTTCTTTTCATGTTTTAAGCCAAATGTTCAATAAATACATTTGAATAAAGTTATGTTGAGTGACCACTCTCTTTATTTTGGTTCATTCAGTGCTGAAAGTTAATATTTTCTTTGTGTGGCTTTGAAAGCAGATAAGACATTGTGGAAGGTAGAATGTCAGAAGATATTGAAAGAATTGAAAAAGAAATAGAAATTGAATTAAGCAGAATCAGTGTTTCTTCCTTTGAAGCAGATGATCCTGACACAGAGGTATCGGATGAAGCTTTGAGTGACAATGAGACAGTAAGTATTCAATGGGCTAACACTGCTTCTATTTCTGCTTGAAAGTAGCGTGGTCATTGGAAAGCCTATCTGATGAATGAACTTTTTCCTGACATATCTAATCCAAGGATTTCTTCTGAAAAGTAGTCTCAGTAGTACTGCTTCATGAAAAATGTAACCTGCAATGGTGACAAGACCATAAAAGAGGTGGATGTCATCATTGTGCTTAAGTGAGAAGATCAGACTCATAGATAATGGCTTGTTTTAGAATCCTCTGAAGCTGGAAGTTTTTAGTAAAGCTGATGAGGTAGCTTAAATCTGGATGAATAAGCCAATGATTCTTCATTTAAATCTGTATTTAAATCTTACAAGAGACTGTCTTATGTTCGAAACCTTCCTGATATTAATTTAATATAAATTGGTGCTTCAGGTCCTCTTTTTTGAATGACTTCTTATTTTGGGGAAAGATACTCCTTTGAAATCAAATCAGTTATTTGGGTCCTTTTCAGTTATTTTAATCTTTCAGACTCATAGCAAAAAGATTGGTCTATAGAATATAAGGGTAAATTATATTGGTCATATGTGCCAATGAATCATAGAATCAGAATGCTTTGGGTTGGAAGGGACCCCTAGAGGTCATCTAGCCTAACCCCCATGCAGTAAGCAGGGACATCTTTAACCAGATCAGGTTGCTCAGAGCCCCGTCCAACTTGGCCTTGAATGTTTCCAGGGATGGGGCCTCTACTGCCTCTCTGGGCAACCCATTCTGGTGTTTCACCACCCTCATTGTAAACAATTTCTTACTTTTATCTAGTCTAAATCTATCCTGGTTTAGTTTAAAACCATTACCCCTTGTCCTGTCACTATAGGCCCTGCTAAAAAGATTGTCCCTATCTTTCATATATATATATATATATGTTTGGTATGACACAAAGGTAGGCAAAAGTATCAGTGTTAATTATTTATATGCTCACATGCTGAATGCCAGGAATGTTTACTGCAATTTACACATCTGAGAGAAGGCAGTCCATTTTCCACATCCTTGCAGTAAAGGACAGTCTTTTGAATAGAAAATAAGCATGTAGTAAAGAAGGTTGAAGCATCTGATTCATGTGTACTTCAGTAAATTTAAAATTAATTTATTTTTGAAAGAGTCTGAACATTTGTAAGAAAAATTTTCCATGCATCATAGGTATTTGTTAATTTTTGTCTTAACCTTTTTCTTAATTTCTTGGTCCAACACAATTATAAAGAAAATAATAATTGAAACATGTTTCTGAAGATAGAAGATAAGTAAACTAAAATGTTTTCCAATCAAAATTTAATTAGACTGTAATTAAAAATGAGAATTATTAATTGTTCAGTGGGTGATCAGACAATAGGAAGAGTGTAGGAATTGGGAAAAATTTCGGTAGCAATTGCTACTAAATCTCTGTCAGTGATTTATAGGTGAAGCCAAAATGAGTCTTTATACTTGCATGTAAAGTATTTACCTCTGGTCATGGCTGTGAGATGAAAATGTAGAATTTATGTCAAATGTCATGTTTTTATAGATTTCAGATGACTTGCCAGAGTCAGTTCTCTCCTATTTAAACTTTATAAAGGGCAGAAATCAAGATGCTGAAAAGCTTATACTGCAAGACTCAGAAGACGAAGAAACTACAAGTAAGCAGGGAATCACAGTTAAAATATTTATGTACCTCGTATTGCCAGTGGAAGTTAGACTAACAATCATCAGTAAAACAATGCAAACTTTTAAGTAGAGCAAGCAGTGAAACCTGTTGCATCAGCTTTGGGATGCATGCTGAAAACCTCTAGGAATAAAGTCATGCAATGCTGTCTTCTAGGATTAACATCTGAGTATGAATTGAAATTTTTCCAAAAATTCATCTGATGGTGAACCATAGATCAAATCAAGTTTCAGGATCGTTCTCTGAAACAGGACCTGGACCAGACTCTTCATGAGAATCTAAAATGAAGTCAGTAGGATCTGAAGTTAGGAGTTCAGATACAATTGAACCCCATACAATATGTATAT